CGCGAAAGGTGGTTTGATTGGAGCGCGGATTTTCAGGAAAGTAGGGTGTCTTTAAAGGGCCATAACTTCCTTAATAGCGGACCTGTGGGAAAGAAAAGAACGCAGTCGTATAGAGAAAGATTTGAGCTTTCCAAAACATACTGACATGTTCATAAAGGTCGCCAAATTCATAGAGAAATTTGCGTTGGGGATTTTTGGGGAGTGCACTTTTTGGATAGTTTGCAGCGCGAGTTTTACAGGTTTGAACCAAGATATTTCCCTTGAACCTCAATAGTTTGGGAATCTGAAACCAGTGTCGAGTTCTAGAAGATTTGCTCTTCCAAAAACCACTTAAACTATTTCTGAAGTTAAACTATTTCTGAAGTTTCCGGGACTCATGAGATAAGTTGCGTTGGGGATTTTTTGGGGAACACTCCGAACTGTTCGAAAGTCCGTTTTCTGTGTACGGTTTCAAGCGAGCGTGTTCGAATAACCAGGAACGCCATTGAAAACGCAACGCTGATTCCTCCCCCCATGGTGAGGTGGAGCGTAGGAGCCAGGATATGCGTTCCTTTTAGCGCCGATCACGCTGACTTCTCGGATGCGCCGCGCTGTTTACAGTGATTTTCCGATTGGCGCTATGCTGGAGCGAACGGCGGCGGGGCGGGCCTGTATGTCGCTGTCGACGCCGCCAGATTCGCTGCTACCGCCAGTTGGGTTGACTCGATAAAGGAAGACCAGCCCTACGCTGGAACGTCTGGATCAGTAACGATATGGTAGTTTGCCTGGTCGTTTGAAGGGAAACAGGTTGGCTCAGCGCCAAGCGCGATCGCGGACACGCCCCATCATCCGCAGCGAACCAGAGTATGAGTTGTACTGTTTAGTCACTTACGAGATGATGTCGACTTTAATATTTCCAGTTATTTCGGATTAGTTTGATGAATGAAAGTTTTGTACTATTTTTTACATATCCGAGTTCTCTACAAAGCAAGTTTCGCTGTACAGGACTCAGCACACTGACGCTCGTTACTGGCTACCGCACTCATTACGACCCCCCCCCTCTCCTGGCGGCCAAATACGACCCCCTGTTGGGGATTCCCCAACCAACGATGTGCCCTGCACGGCAAAAGCACTTCAGCGCTACACATCCATAGACGGGTGTCGATCGTCCCTGGTACTTTGAGAGAGTGTAGGAGTACAAGAGGGTACGCTTCGCCGCCTCGTTCACAAAGGTTAGGTGACAACTAGAACTTTTGGTGGGGATCCTGCTACGAAAGGCCACAGCGCGCAGAAATAAGGAACTGCGGCCGTTAAGGTATTAGGAGACGCAAAATTTGCCGCGAGCCAGGAGATAATTTTTTTGAAGGGAGAGCACATTGGGGTAGATGTGCAACTTCTTGAAATTCACAGAACGCCATGCTTACGTGAGAGTGCAGAGAAAAACAGAAAGTTGGCGTCATTAAAGGGACTGAGCTATAGTTGAGTGTGGACCAGCGCGCGTACCCTCCTATTTTCCCCATACTCTTCGAGCAATGGTGATCGGGCGCCGATCCTTGTTAAATTGTGGGTGGGCAACACGTACCCTCCTATCTATCCATACTCTCTGAGCATTAGTGGATGGTAAGCGGTACTCGACATTTCGTAGATATCCGTATCGTGGCTAGCCCTGTCTATAGCACTGTAGCGTGGCTCCAGTGGTAGCGCATTGACACGCGACACAACGCGTCAGACTACGCTTGTACTTTGAGGTAGCGCCCACCAGCGCTCCTAGCGTCGGGCAGCGCCAACGACTAGAGAAGTGTGGATATCAATTTAGCGTCTGCCAGCGTCCAACTGCGTCCGGAAGTGGATAGTATTAGGAGATAGGAATGTAGCGACTGCTGCTAGAGGGTATGGCGCAATAGGAGTGTAGCAGAGAGGTGGTACCTGGGACCCTCCTATCGCCCCATACTCTCTGATAGTAGTCTGCTGCTGGTCGCTGTCAGACGCTGGATCGATAGCTACACTTCCCTAGACCTCGAGATGCTTCTAGTCGCTAGTGGACGGTGGTAGGACGCTATGACACGCTGGGATGATATCTATACTTTCCGTCGCTCACGCTGCCGCAAAGTATGAACACAGCCTTGCAGCGCGTCGTCACAAAGTGTAAACGCTTCCTTGTAGCTGTAAATATTACATAAATTCCCGCATTAGGAAGAAGTTCACCATTCCGAAGAGGTTTTGGATGCTCATAAGCAATCACTTATTAACTACTGAGTTTTCGTCGCTCACCATCAGTTCTTTCCTATCACGTCTGCTGTGACCTTCGAAATAGGTTAGAACTCACGACTCCTTCCGGGAAGGCAATTATTCCTGAACCTCCGTGATCGGTGAAGTAGACGAAGATCCGGTCATTGATTGTACTACAATATACTATCTTTGAAATTACTGAGAATTCCCAAAGTAAACAGTGCTTGCCTGTGAATAACACGGCCATTTCCGCCCTTCACAGCTTGTTGCGTCTCCTTTAAGAACGGCTAGAAAGTTTGGTATGTTGACCGAATCGCCCTGAGAAACGCTCGATTTATTGTACAATGACTCACATGGTAGTAACCTAAACACCTTGCCACTCACCCTGTAGTCAATGTTCAATCCTTGATAGACATCTGGACCGTAAGGTGAGTTGAAGAGCTGTCCCTTGTAAGGGTTTCTGGAAGACGAGTTAGTGAGTATAGCCGAATAATCAAGTAGCATTCTTTATTTGAAGAAAAAACCTCAAGGCACCGACCACTCTTGTACGTTCAACGACAAACAAAACAACCTTTTTCGTGGATCCTGGCCTTGGCCGTGTGTGGGGTGAGTGGTTCCGCAGCTGCAGTAGCGTGCCACTTTTATTGCTCGAAAGCGCACAAGAACGGAGCAGAAGAGAATTGAGGTTCAGTTTGGCGACGGGGAATTTCGCACTTTTGCCTCTTCCCATTCACGTAATCGAGCTATCAGAATGCCTCTTCTCCGGTTGACAGGTTTCACCATGATGGCTGTCGACCTTGCTCAAGCTTCACAAGAGTTCACAGGTTCCGCCAGATTTAGGCTAGTAAACCGGAGCTAGGGAAACAATGATAGTAGGATATGCCCCTTCCTCCACCCCCCCCCCCCATCAGTCGCTGAACTACGCCAAGAAGTGATACTCGGGTGTCGTCTCCACGCTCTACCCGCACAACCTCATGACCATCCTCATGTGTAACCATGATCAGGCGAGCAACTTGCCTGCGTCCCCTCACTTCTGGTTGTTCTCCACCGTTGCGTGCATGTATCGTTGCGTCATCAAGATACCGACGCGACTGCTACATATTGAAGATAGAGCGGGCGAAGTATTGAGACAGCACCCAGTTACACCTCCAGACCCGTTCAAAAAACACATTTGAGTAGAGTGTGTTGTATACTCCTACAACCGCGTACCATCTGACTCGTTCAAATGACCTTCCTCGGTGATGCTAATTGGGAGGGCTCATCACTCGGTCATAGCTTGCAAAGGCGTAGTTTGTCGACGGGGGGGGCATTTTGCTTTCCATAGATGTGTCGACCCATCTAGGCAGCCGTTTCTCGAGTTGACACGTTTTAGGATAGTGGCTAGACGATCTTACTTCAGCTTCACAAGAGTTCACAAGTTTTACCAGAGTGAGATTTGTAAACCGGAACTAGGGAAGCAATGATAATACAAAATGCCCCCCCCCTCCGTCGACAAACAGCGCCGCTTGCAAATTGCCTCACGAACACAATTTCTACCCGAAGTTGCAAACGGATGCGAACAAGCACCTGGATTATCCCTGACATTTGTGCAACTTGTGTTGACCGGCTGCTATTTGCTTCTTGTGATAACGCTGATAATATGATAAGTGATTTCAAGAGGATAAGTTGCGATCCGCCCAGATCAGGTTTAAAAAACTAACAAAGTGAGTGGTCGCGCGGCGCTGTGCAATAGCATCATAACAGTCTTGTCCTGCTGAGGCACGAAAGTGTCAGGTTATGGCTGGGTTTGGCAGCCCTTTCTCACCCATCGTGCCATGTGCCCACTTCAACAAGTGACTGTGAGCTGCCTGGTGATGCGCCGAACCCAGCCCCCCCCCCGCCCGGGACGCGCCCTACCATCCGCAGGGAGGCTGTACGACCATCGTGACAATATGAATCTGTAACATTCTGACACACCTGGGGTCATTGGCGATGTCGTCGTACATCATGACGATTATATTCTCCTTTTTCACTCCATGCTCCAGCAGAGTGTGGTAGGAGTGGGCAACATCAGCCTGAAAGTACAAAGTTTATTCAATGATCGGAAAAAAAGAAAATAATCTCAGTTCACACGGAATAGAAGAAGATTCTTGAAATTCATCACGTACGGTGAAAGATCAAGAAGTAGCTCAAGAAAGGAAGCACGAGAGCATGGGGAAAAGAAAGGAAACAGAGCACATCACTGGTTGGGGGTTTTGGGCGAGTCAGCACCACCCCCCCCCCTCCTAAGATATAGCTTAGTACGACCCCCCCCCCTATTTTCCGTCCTCTGTTACGATCAAGCGGTCGAGGTGGTATAGCACATGTGAAATGGGGATCCGCGAGCAACAGACGCCCCCTCCTCATCCTACCTACCACTTCCTCTGAGGAAGTTCCTCAGAGAGCTCGCTCTCAACTTCCTACCAGTTTTCCAGAACTTCCCAAGAATTTCCCTACATTTTAAACGAAATTTCGCTGTCGTGAGAGGTGGGAGGGGAGGGTATATAGCACATGTAAAGCAGATGAAACAGGAAAAAAAACCAGGAATAGTCAACAAACGGGGAGAATTTCCTTTTCCCAACGCTAAAGTTTTTCTCGAGAGGCAACAATATTCTCCCCCCACCCACTGACGGGCAAATACTACTTCCCCCTTATAGCAGTGAATAAAGAAAAATTAACTACCACAAAAATTGTCCCAGACCAAACTCTAACTCTCCCCCCCCCCTCCGTTGGCGAATCCTCGAAAATGATGTGACCTGACAGGAAACTTCTTCCTAGCAAAGATTTCAAAGCTTCTCCTCATCTTATCAAGTAAGGTATGTAATCGTAACAAGCATTACAAGCACTCTGTAATTAAAAAATGGGTAGTCTAGAGATACCCATGGTAAGAGACTTTACTGGCGAAGGGCGACGGCAACCCACACAATCGCTGGTTAGCCCCAGCGATGGGGCGCTTCTCACCACCGGTTGCAAAGGGGCTCAATCAAAGGATAAGAGGATAAAGTCATCGCCGATGGTTAATCCTTTTTGAGGATGCGCTATTACACACCCTCTCTCTCTTACCAACTACTAGCTTCGTCCTGGTCCCAATGCGGCGAATTTGTTCCCGGAGCGAAGCGTTCTCCCCCCCCCCACCTCTTCCAACAATGAGCATAGGCGCCCCTTCCACTGGACTTCTCCCAGTGAGGTAACTGGCATCCGTGAAATAGGAACATTCCACTATAAAATTTCTTTCTCCCACCAACTACGACCCTCTGCTTTCGCGACCATATGCGACTCTCTCCCCCCTCCCTTCCCCATCTCATTGGGAATTCCCCAGCGTAGGACGTGTTCTGCCTATACAATTACTTGCGAGGACCAGTCAATGCTCTTTTCGTCCCAAAAGAGCGTGGTACCCATCTACCGTATTTATAGATTGTGAATGATCCAGAATCAAACCTGATGGCGATAATTATACCATCCGTTGGATCCGGCTACCAGCACAGCATACAAGTTACCATTTGGTTGTATGAAGTCTCTGAAATTCAGCATTTGAAATGGTCAAGCTTTTTGGAAGGAGAGCTTTCCGGAGTTTATCATGTAACTATTCTTGCAGCTTGTGCTGCATCCGAACTTACCTGGAAAAGGCTGAGACTAGCAGCACTGTCAATGAGGTGATCCTAAGCAGCTTCTCCATCTGAAAGAAGTCGAGTTGCTTCAACTAAAATGCTCACAAGCAATCTTTCAATGGGAATATTCGGGTGTCTATGGCATAGAAGTAATTTTGGTTTGACAACTGAAATCGCTACGAAACGATAGAAATGCCACAAATGGAACAGCATAGTACCTGGCTGGCTTAAATACAGACATCCGCACTGTCAAAAAAATGGTCTGTACGGCAGATAAGAGCTCTCAAACGGGACCACCCAAGAAGCAATGACAGGGAACGAAGTTCGTAAAACGAAGTCTAATTTCATAGATAATGCCCTCAGTCATGTGCTTCCAGAAGATCAGAAGTGCAGTTGATATACTCATCAGCGAAACTGGAAAAATTGATCACTAGAAAAAAATTTTCACAGCAAAACAGACCCTCATTGAGCAGCTGGCAAATACAATACCGCTCCTAATTTGTGGTCAATCGACGGTTTGCGACAGATTTTTCCGTCGCAAACCGTCGTTTTGCCATAACTTCCGTAGAAATGATCCAGTCTACTTGAAAACCACACTAGTGGATAGCTGGAACTACGATGAGGCTAATGGTCTATGAATCGTTCCAGTATGTTGCCCTTATTTCTGACGAATTCCACTGTTGAGTCTCCAGTTACCTCAGGTGGTACCTGAGGATATGACAGCGTCGTAAACCCTCCAGTCCGATAGCGGAATTCAAGCTGAGCGTTCCAAAGTTAGAGATACTAACATATTTGAGGAGACCGTGTTTTCATGATCATTTTGATACCGGCTTTGAAAAAGTTTCGGTAAAGTTCAGCGCGAAATGGAGGTTTTTCCTTGAAGCATGCGAAAATTGCATTTTTTGACCTATGGCCAACCTGACACCCTTCAGACCACACTTTGGGTTTCGTTCGTCAGAAAGTACTAAATTCATTAAAGAGCGTTTTAACCCAAGTTCAAAAGCATGGTCGACACACTAAATTTCATGATTTTCCCCAAATTTGAACGTGTATTTCCCATCATCTATTGCAGTCGCTAAAGGGTTGTGGATTTGGTTCAGTGCTGAATAGAAAACTGAGCATAAGTTCCATTACAGGCTGGCGATTCTCCCGCAATAAAGTTTTACCCAGTCTGATCACAGTTTTCCCATTTTTGAATGGGCACATCATCGTGGTAGGTCAATTAGGCAAAAGGCAAGAAAAATCTCTATAGAAACACTTACTGTAGTATCAAAATCGAAAGCTTACTGCTTCGGAGGCAAATTCTCTGTTTGCTGCGATGTAACAAATCAGGGGTGAGCGGACAGTCTCTATCTGACTTCTGTGCTTTACATAGAATTACAGATGCATGGAAAGTGTTCCACATCGTTGAAACCAGCTCGTCGAGCTCTTTCCAATGGTATTTTCGAAATCGTGGAAATATCTGCATTTGAGCATCCGATTCTACCAAAGTACCTAAGGAGACCAATTAACGAGCGCCGCTTGCCCTAATTGTTACCAGGGGGATAAGGTTCCATTGGGAGCACTTGACATTAGCACATTATGATAGTACTGTTTTGTAACGAAGTTGTTTGAGGAACCTACAGCTCTTCTCGAACGGTTGCTCCTCACTTTGATACTGAATTGGACTTTGATACTAAACACGTAAATTCAATGTTCGTAAACTACTAAAAGACCTCTAGAATGGATTTTGTGAGCTGTTCCCTCGGTAACCGGGTGGTACAGCTCTCTGTTGTTCTTACTCCGAAGGCATTAAGTAGGATCATTTTGACAGAACAAAATTTTCTAATTTGATCTCAATCTACAGTTGTTACTTTTTCAACCTGAAAGACTGTCCCATGATAAAAAAATGTCAAAAGTGGCTATGAACCATCCAACGAGTGTAAGCGAAAGCCAGCTTGGAAGTGACTGGCACTGTTGGGCAAAACACA